CCCCAAAACCCCAAAACCCCAAAACCCCTATTAGAAAAGCTAGAATTGAACTCATTCATAAATGATTGATAGGATATATGCTTGACACCAAATGCTGATGATTGACTCGTCTCCAACCAGAGGAATTGCTCTGCTTGAGCTACCTTCTAAAAATTAGCTTCAGACTTACCTGCTGATTCCAGCATGAAGTTTTCAACAGTTTTTAAGTAATCTGATTGGTCTCCAGTTGCGATTCAGTTAATGATATCAGGACATACAGGCTTTTCTTCATCTTTGAGATAGTTTGCATTGAAATATGAAACTTCATAGATGATCCTTCTTACCTAAAGGATTGGTTATTGTGGAGATAGAATTGATTAAGAGACAATGAATATAATGAATTACTCTGTCAAAATCAACTGGGCATTCATATGAATTCCAGCAAACTAAATCTCCTTCCATTTCTGGATGTATCTCCAAGATTTTTCTCCTCAATGTCCCATTTATTTGATTCTATAATGTACCAAAAATGACTTACAATCAACAAAACTCAGATCTGCGAAACTACAAAGTAAATAAATTTCTCTCCTAAACACTCAGAATTCCTCTTTTCCACCATATCCTATAATCTAAAGCTACTTTACCTACTTTTACTCTCTCAAAGTGTACTAAATACCCTCTAATTCCTAGCACAGAAGTCAACAGCATCAGTAATCTCCCAATATATCCCTCTAGATCCCTTCTCTTGCCTTCCCAGTCACATTTCTCCATCTCAGGTACATGTATCTCTTGGAGACACTCTTCCTCATTCTTCATCTCTGCTCCAAATTTGGCTAAAATTTCCTTAAGAATGGCTTTAGCCAAGCTCTGAGGGACTTTTCAGTCACTAAATCTTTACAGGTAAGCTTACTTTCGACACTGGGCTGGCAATATTCTGTACAATTTCTGGTCGTGCTCGTTCAGAGCGTATATGTAGTCCAAGTCAAAGCTGAAGTTATAGTACGTGAATATCTTATCATGTGAGATCTTGTAGCTCTGATGACATTGCTCATCAAATTTTTGCATTATGAACGCTATACAGAGGCCATTAGAATAAGATATACCTTCCTTTTCAGCGCTGTTTTGTAGCTTTTCAAAGTTTGGCCGTCTGCCTTTCTTATTTTAATGTTTTCCTAGGGAATAAAAATCTCTCTTACGCTTCTTCAGGGCCTGGCTTTTCTGAAATCTTAGGTGGTTCTATAGCACATAAATCTTAGAATGTACTTCAGAGACTCTCAAATGCATACGTGAATATCTTGTAGTTCATATTTCCAAAGAAAGAGTCCTTTTCTTGATATTCAAACTTTGGCTTAAGCTCTAAAATTATGAAGGAATAATACTATTGTAAATCTCTTGCTTCAGGAATTCAATCGAACTAGATTTTGCTATAGCCTTTTGGTCTCTTTTCTTTGAGCTGGGTCTATTTAAGCCTTCTTCAAAAATACCTGAAGTAAGAATTCATCATCCTATTTTTCATTCTTCAGATTTGTCAGATATCTGAGTTTTTCAGTCAGGGCTCATATTATTCTAGCAAGCATATGAGTCTTGCCGGGGGATTCTGAATATTTATCCATGTTAACCAGAGAGAAGTCTGGGTCACCTACACCATAACAGCTGAATTTACAAATCATTTTGTCTAATAGAGGGATCAACCATTCTTTGTTGATCATTTCAGTCCTGGATACTCTTCCCTATATATAAAGCTCCAGCTCTACTTTCTTCTTCCTCCTATCTCTGAGGTTGATGTAAAGGGCAAATGTGAGAGTTTGAGAGTTTATGTAAGAGAAAGGATCATATTCAGGATTCTTGTATCCTAAAATCTTCCATCTATTCATGGTCTTCATACTCTTGAGAGCTCAAGGCATCGAGCAACTGAAATTAAACTTTTCTATGTATTTTCAAAGTCTGAGAATTATCTGTTCTGCTATATTTTCCTCTACAGCTTGAGGGACTAAGACAGCCTTAAGGAAATCATTGAAGGAGAAATAAGGCATTACGATATTCATATCGTCTTCTATTTTGAAGTATGAAAAGAGGCTGTAAAGGAAATCTACACAAATTAATTCAGCAATTACCAGTTGATATCTCAGGTGTGTCTAAGCCTTGAGGGATCTCTATATGCATAACCAGAGCATACTGTACCAAATCTTTGGAGACTCTTGAACCGCATCCCGGAAAGTTCTCTAGTCAAGAAATCATAAGTTGATAGTAAGTCTAGAGCATCAGAGTGGAATCTGGGTAATATTCTTTTCCATCTGGTGTGATCATTTTCAAGAATCTTTGAGGCTTAAAGATATTATGGTCTTTCATATCTACACGTTAGGAGTCAGAGTACCATTCTCGCTCATTTCGAAGGAGGGCTTTTTGACCTGCTTCCGAGTTGTATCAGCTAGATTTGAGGTGATATAAATACAGATCTCTTTACTTTTGTATTTTTCAAGAAACTTAGCCCTAATTTCTTGATGAGGATCTATATTTTTTCCTCAATAGTGAAGCTTGTGACTAAAATATAAGATATTTATCATACCTGGTTGTTGTAGATTATCTGTGCTTTCATATTGGCCAAGGAGGACATAGCTAAAAATTATAGTTAATAAAATTACTTTTCTAATTTCTCAAGGTCGATGTCATCTTCATTAATCCCTAGATCATAAGTCTATGTCGAGTACTATCTAATGTGTTCTTGATGGTACTTCTCTTTTGGCGATACCTACTCATAATCTCTCAGGCTTACAGTTTGAATTCCATTTTCAAGTTATAATTATTATAAAATCTTCCAAATCTGTGAATTCGCAGGGGTTTTGGGGTTTTGGGGTTTTGGGG